ATCCAACCTTTGTTCTATATACCATAAGGACCTTTCACAAGTCAAACTGCTTTCCTTGTAAGAGTCTTTTACATTGGGAAGGCTTGTATGAGTATGTGTGCATCTCCTCTTACCTGTCCTTTGAGCGTAAAATATTTTAGTTACACAAGGATAGGTCTGTCCTTGTCATGCACAGCTGCCTTTAAAAATTTACCAAAATTCCTCCCAGTTTTCTCCAGGACATTAAAAACCTGGCAAACACATTTCTGGGAGTTTGGGCAAAAGACATCTTATTTGCTGGGCGACTGTGATTAACTGCCTGGTTTACACATTTTAATTTATTCAAGCCTGACTCTTACAAGAATCTTTTCCTCTATTCTAATACTGATTAATAAGGAGATCTATTTCAGTTCATCTACACAGTTTACCTAAATAAGATCTCCTTAATATTTGTTGTAATATAATTTGTATGAATCATATCTATCCTAAAGATCTAAATACAATTTTAATCATCAATTTCACAGTTTATTGATTCATTAATTAAAAGCCATTATTATATGCCTTGGTTACATGAACCTTTTCTAGCCTGTATGATGCTTTCATTACTCTATATTCCATATGTTTGTCTTCTTTATTAATTTCCTCATTTTCAGCCATGATGCAATGTATTAAATTTCAACTTAATAACACTGATTATGTACTTAAATTATGCACTTTATAAAAGTAAATAAGTACAACTTACCTTTGAAAAAATCCCAGTACTTGAGCTTAGCAATGAAACATGCAAGAAATTAGAATATAATTTTAAATTGTGCATTAATACAACCTTTAGCCAAACTTGGCTTTCAAATTAATATTACACAAATTAATATAAATCCTTGCCAGATTTGGGCATAGCAAAATTTAATATATCACATGCTTATCAATTAACATACTATGATATAAATATTGGCAAAAAATTGGCTTATCAAATTAATATTAACAAATATAAATCCTTGCCAGAATTTGGTATGCAAACTTCTAATATTATACACAATATAATTTTTAGCCAACTTGTCTTATCAATTACACATACACTGATATAATAATTCTTGGGCCAGAATTGTATAATCAAGTTGTATTATACAAATTAAATAAACTTAGCCTGACTTGAGCTTAAGCTTATCAAAATTAATATTGCATTATTATTCCACTAAACATTAGGTAAATTGTGAACTTAACATCCACATCCTTCTGTAATTTAAACATATAATTATTAAAGTATTATTCTAATTTATGACTTCACTAATTTACATCCGGTTCGAAGGTCCAACCGGGCAAATTAAATGTGGAAAAATATTACATTTATCTGAATGTAACTTATTATATACATAACAGTAAAATGATAACAAAGATAATTTTATTTATCAATGTTACATAGACTAGTAGGAATTTGGGACGCCTAGGTCGCAAATATGTCCCCTTTAGATTACCTTACCACGTTCATAACACACGTTTGCTCGGGACCTATTAATTATATGAAATATACATACCCCAGGGAATATGGTTAATATAAAAATTTTGTGGGACTGTATATTAAAAATAATAAATGGTTATAATTTTAAACAATTACATAACAGAAGGAAATATATCTAATTACTCAACAATTTGAACTGGAGATTAATGTGTATCATAATCAGAAAACCTCACTCTAACTAAATCTATGAAAATAAGCTGGCCAGAATTACACACAAAAATCTAGAGAGCTTATCTGAGGTTCCTGGATGCTGTCTTGTCAGTCGTCCTCAACCCTGATATCTCATGTTACTGGCAGAATGCACTCCACAATTCGCCTCCTATTTGAGAGGTGATCAATTAATTTTAACCTCTAGAGCATGAAAATGCTTTCCCATTTCACAACGTTTGTACAAATTCAAACCAAGATGGCGAGTGTCTCTTTATTTTTTCGATACATAATTTCTTTTTTAAAAATAACAATATAGGGCCATCTATTTACCTATAAATTACCGTATTTCCGGAAAATATATACAGTATTTTCAACAAACACTTTATAAAAAACAAGTGATTTGGCAGTGGTTTTAAGATGCCTTTAGCCTCATTTTTGTAAAAAATAGCATTAAGAAAGCTTGAAGGTGGGTGAGAAGATTGAAGAGATGGGTATTCACCCACTGGTCGGTGAATACTTCTTGAAGGCCCGATTATAAATAAAACGTAACGTGTGGTTTTTGGATTTTTTGTAAATTGCCATAACCTGTATATAGCGTCATATTAACATACATATTTCGGTATATAATGGCAGTGATATACATTCTTAAAGCACTTGTTAGTCCTCATTAGTCTCTAATCCTCATATATATTATTATTACTTTGTTGTTCACTGCTATTTTTTTTTCCTTCTGATGTGGTTACTAGGCTGTATCAGTTCTGATTTCACTGTTGTCGTTATGCTGTTGTCTCACACTGCTCCTCCATCGCTCTTCGAGTGATGGCTGGGTGTGCCATTGTTATTCTTTTCTATTTGTCACTCTTGTTTGTTATTCCATCTATTTTTGTGCACCATATTTGCAGTTTTCTATCTTTTACTGTGTTTCAGTTTTCGGTGCCCTTATCTTTGTTCGTGGATCATGGAGCAGAAGAAAATGAAGGGGATTGTGGGGACTGAAGTTTGCAGATGAGGCTGGGAAGAGGAAGTAGAGAAGGGGATGTTTTTTTCAGTGGAAGGGCTGATCGGTTGTGGGTGTAGTGGGTACAGGAGAGGAGGGGATAGGGGGTGAGAGGAGTGAGGGTAGTATAGTTTGAGATGAGGGGTGGGTTCTTGTACAGGAGGAGTCTGGAATATGGGTGAGGTGAGTGAGGATTGGTAACAAGTAGAGAGAAGTTGAAGGTTTGGAATGCGGCGGTGCGTTGTAGGGGAGGTTCTTGCGCATCAGAAGGTCGAGTATTTAGTGTGCAGATCTGAGATCGATGAGTTGTTATTGGATTATTTGTTGGATGGTTGGAAGGGGGAACGGGTGGCATGAGAAGTCTTTGTTGGGTTTTGTTTATATTCTCCTGTTTGTTGTGTCGGGGATTTCATTTTCCTCATTCCGTTGTTCCTTCTCTTTTCATGTTTTTTTTCTATTCGTGGTTACACGTCGCTTGTCTGAAACTGTCCTCCTTTTTGAGCAAACAATGGCAGACTCCACCCACATTATGTAAATAAGACACACATGGTGGGTTATAGCATTTTTTTGTGAGGATGTCTCGCCATCGAGGACATTTATCAATTCGAGTTGTGTGAATTAATAAAGTCGCTAATAGAATGATCGCTTTTCACAATAAAATGCCATAAGCTGCTACTAATGTTTATTTGCATCCTTATTTAGCAGTGATTTCCGCCTTGTCAGTAGTCTAGACTGCCATTCTGTTGTAATGGTCAGTTAACAGAGGTACCTTACACAAACAACCCGCATTGAAGAGAGAGAATGTTATATGAAAACATTTCGGTTCGACTTGGACCATTTACAAGTCACACTGACACACGAAAGTGAGGGAGCCAGTATATATATAGGAGAGTTACCTTCTGAGTACCTGAAAAGTTATCACCAGTGTCAATTCATCTTCCCTCTGTGGTGTGTGTGTGTGTGTGTGTGTGTGTGTGTGTGTGGTGTGTGGTGTGTTGTGTGTGTGTGTGTGAGTGTGTGTGTTGTGTGTGTGTGTGTGCACTTGAGGCTGCTGGGTAGTTAAACACAGGTGCCACGCCTCTTTGCCGACGAACAGACGGACAGAAACGTGTTCTACGGATTCTCGTGTATTAGACACGTGGATGCCTTAGAGATGTGAGAGAGAGAGAGAGAGGGGGGGGGGGGGGTGAGATGAGAGAGAGAGATGGGCAGGAAGGAGAACTCTGTTTTAAACTTACAGGTTTCCCCGAGAATACCTTGAAAGTAGTTGTGCGATTTTCTATTTGCATCATATGGCCATTTAATACTTTTCTTTTACGAAGTTTAATCGGATATCTTTTTGCCAGCCATGATTTCCTTGAATTATGTTTCTCACAGATCCATAACTCAACAAATATAAGGTAATCGACTTTATTAAAAATAATATAGTACTCACTGCATGTAAGAAAAATTAGTCCAAGTATGCTACTAGTAAATTATATTCATTTATACGGCGTGATTTGTGAGGATAATTAGCCTTTTGATAATGTGGGAATAATTCAAGATAACCACTAAAATATATTAATGAAATTTCACTTAGTTGTATTACATATTTTTTGTCTTCTCTGAGGATGAGGGTCCTAGTCAGTTCCAGAGGGAGGTACCATATATATATTTTTATATAAAAATATATATATTATATAAATATATATAATATATATATATATATATTATATATAATTATAAATATATATAAAATATTTTTATAATAAATTATATATATATATATATATATTTTAACGGGAAAGGAAATTTTTTGAAATTTTCTGTATAAGATAGTTAATTGGTCTTTGTTTGCTTGAACGGGAAAAAAAGGTAAATTATTATTTAACTGAACACAGTTTTTGTTTTAAACACGTCGAGGAGTTTACACGGGGAAAACCCTAAAAAAACAACTGATTTTTATACGGGATTAAAGCCAATTTAATTTTAATACAAAAAAATAAAAATAAAAATAAAATAATAATATAATAAAAATAATAATAATAATAATAATAATAAAAATAATAATAGTTTTTTTTTTATTTTTGTTAATATTATTATTATTTTTTATATTATTAATTATTTTTATTATAAAAATATAAATATAAGGTAGATTCTAAAACTACGGCATAATGACAGTAAAAACATAAGATATGTCCACTCTACACAATGACCATACAAAATCTTTTTGCATTCCGAAATCCTGGTACCGAAACTGGGATTTCCTTTTTTAAAAAATTGAATCTATGTCCCCACTTACCATCAGTTGTACCCAACTCTTAAAAAGTTTTCAAATTTTTTTACGAAACCCTTTGGATTAAAAACTCCCTAAGGACTTTAGTTGAGTGTGTTCCATGGTACATTTTGCAGGATGCGTTTTTCCACTCCCTGGATGTCTAATGATAAGAAGTCGATCGTCGACACGTTGAGCGCCAACAGATAAGACTCCAGAGGAAAGCACTGCGTGCTGAAATAGGATTTATCAGACTCCTTGAAGACATAGTCGAATGCGTGTGATTCCAGAGTGGCTCCCAGTAAATGTGATGACCCGATGTACGTTATGGCATTCTCAAGGGCTCTGAGTTGTCCCATGTCCCTCCTGCTGTATGAAACAAGTACTGATTCCAAGGGGAATGGCTCAGGGGAGAGGCAAGTATTGGAGATCCAGGCTTTGCGTTGCTTGCTCAGTAACTTCTGATAACTGAGCGGATTGGGCTCCACCAGGAGACCTGTCCAGCCAAGCTCCTGCTCCAGCCACAGTGTGTTGGAGCCTCGCTCGCCGTCCAGGGCTCCAGCCTCCACAAAGAAGCCTCCTCGCTGACCTTGAAACACCTTTGCAATATTTTCATAGATGAAATTCCAAGTACCTAAGTTTTTGGCTTTAGTGTAAATGGGATCCGTGGAGAGGTTGTAAGGTAAAACAGAAGGTGGGTTAAGGAAGGTGTTCTTGACGAGAGAGAGAACTGCAGGATGGTCAGCAGGCAATGGCCCGCGAGCACCTATACGAACCTCCTCCAGGTACGTCATCCCCAACACGTTCTGAAAAGCACCAAAGACAGTCAGAAAGTCAGCATGTACTGTACATAGCAGAATGTAGATACAATGTTTGTGGGAGTGACAAACTAGTTTACATACATTTTGATAGTCTTCGATGTTGAATAACCCATATGCTTAGCACTTTCAGTGATATTGATACTACTACTACTACTACTACTACTACTACTACTACAGTTTTGGGCCCTTTGTTGCTCACAATTTACATAAATGACATAGGTGAGGAAATAAATAGTGACATAAGCAAATTTGCTGATGACACCAAAATAGGCCGTCCAATTCATTCTAATGAGGACATTAGAGCACTCCAGGAAGACTTGAATAGACTGATGCAGTGGTCGGAGGAGTTGCAGATGAAGTTTAATATAGACAAATGCAAAGTTCTAAATGTTGGACAGGAAAATAACCATGCCACATATAAAAAAAAATAATGTAGATCTTAATATTAATGATTGCAAAAAAGATCTGGGAGTTCTGGTTAGCAGTAATCTAAAACCAAGACAACAGTGCATAAGTGTTCGCAATAAAGCGAACAGAATCCTGGTTTTTCATATCAAGAAGCATAAATAATAGAAGTCCCTTGATTGTTCTTCAGTTAGACCTCATTTAGATTATGCTGTATAGTTCTGGTCACCGTGTTACAGAATGGATATAAATGCATTGGAAAGCGTACAAAGGAGGATGACAAAGTTGATCCCATGTATCAGAAATCTTCCCAATGAGGATAGACTGAGGGCCCTGAATCTACACTCTCTAGAAAGGCGTAGAATTAGGAGGGATATGATTGAGGTGTATAAATGGAAAGCAGGAATAAATAAAGGGGATGTAAATAGTGTGCTAAAAATATCTAGCCAAGACAGGACTCGCAGCAATGGTTTTAAGTTGGAAAAATTCAGATTCAGGAAGGATATAGGAAAGCACTGGTTTGGTAAGAGTTGTGGATGAGTGGCACATGCTCCCGAGTACCGTTATAGAAGCTAAAACGTGCAGTTTTAAGGAGAGGTTTGATAAATACATGAGTGGAGTGGGTGTGGGTGGGTGTGAGTTGGACCTGACTAGCTTGTGCTAGTAGGCCTGGTGTCGCGCTCCTTCCTTAACTGGATGTGACCTGGCCCTGACAAGGCTTGGTCAGTGACATAAACCGGTAGGCGGCTTGGACCTGCCTCGCATGGGCCTACTGGCTTCTTTTCCCTAGCATTCCTTCGAATCTCTTGTAACCTTTCTGTTTCTACAGACCTGTCAGATATGGTCAGAATCACCAGGAAAATATTATTTTATATCGACAGTAATTAGATGTTAGTTAGATTTCTTGCCATCTTAGATGATCCTGAGACAAGATGACAAGATTAACCATGTGTTAATGTTGGTAGAATTACCGTCAATATGTGTCCTTTTACCTCACAAGATCAACTATATAGCGCCAGAGTGTTAAACTTTTAACAAGCTTCTCATTCTTACTCAAATAATTAAAAAAGAATTGGTATTTTTTTACGACTAATAGCAAAATATCTGATTTATTAGAGTTTTTCTTCAGCTTTAAAAATCTTCATTTGAAATAGCAGAGTCGGCAAATGGAATAATCATAGAGAGAGAGAGAGAGAGAGAGAGAGAGAGAGAGAGAGAGAGAGAGAGAGAGAGAGAGAGAGAGAGAGAGAGAGAGAGAGAGAGAGAGAGAGAGAGAGAGAGAGAAGGAAGAACAAGAACTACCGTAAGTGACAAGAAAATCGACTTACCCACAGCAGGAGAGCCAGGAGTGTGTGTGAAGACAGAAGTGCTACACTAACCATCCAGATCTTCGTACTGGAAACAACACTTCTCCTGGAACTCATTGTTTTAATCGTTACATAAAGTTCAGATATAATTTATCTTTTCTGGTTACATTTTATATTAATACGATGTATACGTGCGTATGTGTCTTGTCGTAAGATAGAATATTACAGCAGAACACACACGCACTCTACTGGCGCAGCTCACCGTGCAGCCACACACACACTCTACTACTGGCGCAACTCACCGTGCAGCCACACACACACTCTACTGGCGCAGCTCACCATGCAGCCACGTGGAAATAACACCCCCGTCTTTCCTCCTTAGCTTTCCTGGTGGATCGCAGAAGCACCAGGTCAGTGGTCTAGCGCGTTCGGCTCACAGCCGAAGGATCCCGATTACCTGGTGAAACTATAGGTGTGGAAAAGGTCTCCTTAGACCTGTTGCTCCCGTTGACTTAGCTAACGGTAAACAGGTGCCATTATTTGATGCCTGTTGTGGATCGCCACCCGGGCAAGGACCCGAACTGAAATAGACATTACTTCTAAGCTTTTTGCTCACCTCTTTCCTCTCTGCTCACTAACCCCAAAACTTCTCTCGGTATCTTGCATATCGTGATCATGTCTCCCCTGGTCTTTCAACAGTCCTCCAATCGTAGTAAACGTACTATTTGCTATAGTATACAGACATAATATGCTTTTTAGGCATCACTCTCTCTCTCTCTAAGAAATGTGATTTTACAGGAGCGATGGTAACGGAGGATCGAACCTCTACCACTCGTTGAATGACCCACCCGGGCTTAGCGCTTCGTGATTCAGAATACAGGAATTACAACAAGTGAGGGAAGAAGGTCGTCGAGTCAGGCCAATGAAACACAGCAGTAAATGTGTTATTTACGTATGTACATGGAAATGAGTATCAGGGTGAGTCAAGACTAGCTGGTTCGTGTCAGCTGGTTCATGCCAGCTGGTGTCTGGATGGTCGTTCAGGTGGTGGAAATAAAACGTTGCGGTCAAATCAGCTGGTGAAATATCCTCGTGCCGAGAGTATAGTATTACCAGTACAGCATTACACAGGTACAGTAGTTGTACTAGTCTCAGCAGTTACACTATGGTCACAGCAGTTACAATCAGGTCACAGTAGTTGTACCAGGTCCCCAGCAGTTACACCGGTCATATCAGTTTAGCAGGTCCGTAGCTCCTCAGGTCACTAGCAGTTATAACAGTCACAGAGCTCAGCAGGTCTAGTGGTGACATTACTTGGTTTGTGGTAGAGACTGCGTGGTGGTGACTGTTTGGTGGTGAGCTGGTTACTGTGCTTGGATGCGCGGTGGTGACTGTTTGGTGGTGAGCTGGTTACTGTGCTATGTGCTGTGGTGGTGACTGCTAATGTGTTGCTGGTGGTGTTGCAATATTGTCTGCTGTGCTGGTGTTGTAGTTGACGTACTGCTGTGTAGTGTTGTGGTGAACGTTCGCTGTGGTAGCGTATGGTGACGTTTTGACTGGGTGTGTGGGGGGTGACCTCTGCTGTGTTGCTGTGGTGCTGACTACTGCTGGATTTCTGTGATGCTGACTACCAATATTATGTTGCTGTGCTGCTAACTATTGTGTTGCTGTGGTGTCTGACTATTGTGTTGCTGTGTGCTAACATTGTGTTGCTGTGTGTGACTATTGCGTTTTCTGTGGTGGTGACTACTATTGTGTTGCTGTGCTGCTAACTATTGTGTTGCTGTGGTGCTGACTATTGCGTTTCTGTGGTGGTGACTACTATTGTGTTGCTGTGCTGCTAACTATTGTGTTGCTGTGGTGCTGACTATTGCGTTTCTGTGGTGGTGACTACTATTGTGTTGCTGTGCTGCTAACTATTGTGTTGCTGTGGTGCTGAATATTGCGGGGTGTATGTGGTGGTGGTGACTATTACTACTGTGTTGCTGTGGTGGTGACTACTGCTGTGTTGCTGTGGTGGTGACTAGTATTGTGTTGCTGTGGTGGTGACTAGCTGCGTGTTGCGTGGTGGTGACTACTGCTGTGTTGCTGTGGTGGTGGTAGGGTTGGTTGCTACTGCTGTGTTGCTGTGGTGGTGACTATGCTGTGTTGTTGCTGTGGCGTGGTGACTACTGCTGTGTTGCTGTGGTGGTGACTACTTGCTTGTGTTGCTGTGGTGGTGAATATGCTGTGTTGCTGTGGTGGTGACTACTGCTGTGTTGCTGTGGTGCGTGACTACTGTGTGTTGCTGTGGTGGTGGCTATGCTGTGTTGCTGTGGTGGTGACTAGTATTGTGGTTGCTGTGGTGGTGAATAATACTGTGTTGCCTGTGGTGGTGACTAGCTGTGTGCTGTGGTGAGTGACTACTGGCTGTGTTGCTGTGGTGGTGACTATGCTGTGTTGCTGTGGTGGTGACTAAGTATGTGTTGTGCTGTGGTGTGACTATACTGTGTTTGCTGTGGTGGTGACTACTGCTGTGTTGCTGTGGTGGTGACTACTGCTGTGTTGCTGTGGTGCTGACTAGTATTGTGTTGCTGTGGTGGTGACTACTACTGTGTTGCTGTGGTGGTGACTACTGCTGTGTTGCTGTGGTGCTGACTAGTATTGTGTTGCTGTGGTGGTGACTACTACTGTGTTGCTGTGGTGGTGACTACTGCTGTGTTGCTGTGGTGGTGACTACTGCTGTGTTGCTGTGGTGCTGACTAGTATTGTGTTGCTGTGGTGGTGACTACTGCTGTGTTGCTGTGGTGGTGACTACTGCTGTGTTGCTGTGGTGGTGACTAGTATTGTGTTGCTGTGGTGGTGACTACTGCTGTGTTGCTGTGGTGGTGACTACTGACTGTGTTTGCTGTGGTGGTGACACTACTGTGTTGCTGTGGTGGTGACTACTGCTGTGTTGCTGTGGTGCTGACTAGTATTGTGTTGCTGTGGTGGTGACTACTGCTGTGTTGCTGTGGTGCTGACTAGTATTGTGTTGCTGTGGTGGTGACTACCCCTGTGTTGCTGTGGGGGGGTGACTACTGCTGTTTTTTGCTGTGGTGCTGACTAGTATTTTTTTTTTGTGTGGTGGTGACTATTACTGTTTTTGCTGGGGTGGTGACTACTGCGGGGGTTTCCCGTGGGCTAAATATTATTTTTGGTTGCTTGGTGGTGACACTACGGTGTTGCGGGGTTTGGGGGACTATGTTTGTGTTGCTTTTGGGCTAAATTAGTATTGTGTTGCTTGGGGGTTGACTACTGTGTTGCTGTGGTGCTAAATAGAAATTGTTTTGCGTGGGGGGGGGACTACTGCTGTGTTGCTGTGGTGCTGACAAGTATTGTTTTTGCTGTGGGGGTTTGACCCATACTGGTTGCTGTGGTGGTGACACTGCTGTTTTGGGCTGTGGGGGGGAACTACTGCTTTTGGTTGCTGGGGTGCTGACTAGTTTTGGTTTTTGCTGTGGGGGGGTGTACTGCTGTGTTGCTGGGTGGGGGACTACTGCTGTTTTGCTGTGGTGCTGACTATTTTTGGTGTTGCGTGGTGGTGAAAATACGGTTTTGCTTTGGGGGTTTGACTACTGCGGGTTTTGCTGTGGGGGCTGATTTGTATTGTTTTTGCGTGGTGGGGGACTACAAATTTTGTTGCTGTGGTGGTGACTACTGCTGTGTTGTTTGGGTGCTGATATTTTGTGTTGCTGTGGTGGTGACAAATACTGTGTTGCTTTTGGTGGTAAACTGGGGTTTTTTGGGGCTTTTGGTTTGGTGACTACTACTGTGTTGTGTTTTTGGTGAAACTGCTGTGTTCCCCGGGGTTGGTGGTGACTACGCTGTGTTTGCTGCTGTGGTAATTGGGCTGTACACCCCCTTTTTGTGATTACGGGCGGCCGAGTCTCAGCTCCTGGCCCCGTCTCACAGTGGTGTACTGATTTTAAATACATTCCCTGGCTGCGTGGGGTTTTTTCATACCCTTTTTTTAAAGCTATGTATGGATCCGGCTTCCACCATTCACCTTTCCAGGTCTTTTCCCTTTCCTGCCCACCTAAGCTAAGAAATTTTTCCGACATCCCTGTGTTTCCCTATTTATCCTTGGTTAGGCCTAAATTTAGACTATGCTGCTCAGTTCTGGTCACCGTGTTACAGAATGGATATAAATGCTCGGGAAAACGTACAAAGGAGGATGACAAAGATGATCCCATGTATCAGAAATCTTCTCTATGAGATAGACTGAAGGCCCTGAATCTGCACTCTCTAAAAGACGTAGAATTAGGGGGATATGATCGAGGTGTATAAATGGAAAACAGGAATAAATAAAGGGGATGTAAATAGTGTGCTGAAAATTTCCAGCCAAGACAACTCGCAGCAATGGTTTCAAGTTGGAAAAATTTAGATTCAGGAAGGATATAGGAAAATAACTGGTTTGGTAATAGAGTTGTGGATGAGTGGAACAAGCTCCCAGTATAGTTATTGAGGCTAAAACGTTGTGTAGTTTTAAAATAGGTTAGATAAATACATGATGGGTGTGGGTGAATGTGAGTTGGACCTGACAAGCTTGTGCTGCTGGGTCTGGTGCAGTGCTCCATCCTTGAGTGGGGGATGACCAGACTGGGTGGGTCATTGGTCTAATCCGGGGGGGGGGACATGGACCTGCTCCGCATGGGTCAGTAGGCCTGTTGCAGTGTTCCTTCTTTCTTATGTTCTTATGATTCTTTTCTTCTGTGCTTTTAACTTCCAGCTGTGCCCTTGTGTACCTGATTTTCGCCTCTCAACAGATTCCTCCTCTCAGGGGTACTGAGGTGGTGACTGATGTTTTGGGTGTACGGGTGATTGTTCTGTTGGTGTAATGGTGGCTGCTGTATTGGTGACTGCTGTGGCGGAGTGGTGGCGACTGTTGCATTAGTGTGGTGGTGATTCGTGTGGGGGTGTGGTGGTGACTGCTGTGACTTGTGGTGGTGATTGTTGCGTTGGAGTGGGGGTAATTTATGTGGCAGTGTGGGGGGGACTGCTGTGTTGGGGTAGTGATTACTATTGCTTTGGTATAGTGGTGATTGCTGTGGAGGTGTGGCGGTGTTACTGGTGGTGACTGCTGTGATGGTGTGCTGGTGGTGACTGCTGTGGTGGTGCTACTGGTGGTAACTGCTGTGATGGTGCTGCTGGGGGTGACTGCTGTGGTGGTGCTAAATGGTGGGGACTGCTGTGATGGTGCTGCTGGTGGTGACTGCTGTGGTGGTGAGGTACCCTAGCGACTTTTTGGCTGCGTTGTCCAGTGTGCGGTGAATATCGTAAGAGTCCTCGTGGGTGGACGGCGCCTCGTAACTCCTGGGTCAGCGAAGAGAGCAGAAGCGAGAGAGCAATATTTACAAATATTCACAAAGATATTTATCATACGTAAATGAAATATATATTATTTACATTTTATTTACATTATACATAAAATAAAAATATAAATATGTAATTTACAAAAGTAGCATTTACAAATAGAGATGAAACATAC